TATTTGAAGCCCTGGCCTCAGTTGCTGGTACTGTTTGTAGAGGTTTAGGAGGTGCTGGAAGCTCTGAGGGTTCATAGCCTTGCTCCGTTTCTAGTTGGTCTGCTTTGTGTTTGCCATCGGAGATGTGGGTTCTCTGTTTTTGGTTTCTGCCACTGCACCTGCTGCCTGACGCCATGCCTTTCTGCCATGATGGACTCTCATCCCTCTGGAACCATAATCCCAAATAAGCTCTTCCAATAAGTTGCCTTGGTCACAGAGTTTTATCACAGGAATAGAAAGTTAACTAATATAGGAGTCTTGAAAAGGAGAATTCAGTTGACATTTTATTCACTCCTCTAGAGTAATTCACACATATCAAGACACATAATATTTTTTCCCTTAAAAGATCATAGAATTAGACAAAACATCTAAGTTGAAGACCTCTTAAAAATCTGCTCCAAGTACTTCATGTTACAGATGAAGGAATTCAGGGACCAGAAGTGGTTCAATGACTCATCCCAGGTCAATTCACTTATCAGTGTTTATTTAAATGACATGAATCCCCTAAAATCATGTATTTCCTCCTTTCTAACATACTTCTAGCTCCCATATTCAAGTATAAATGTAAAACAAAGGGAAACATTAATGCTTTATTGCCACTGGCTCATTTTGACTAAACCCCACAGATCTATTTTTACATATTTTATTTTAATATTCATCTCCACAAGTTACTTGACTTCCTGCCAACTGAGTCTGAAACAGCTACTTTCCCATTCCTTTCCCATTCCAAGCATCATGTCCTGTAGCTTTCATTCTTCCATGTATTGTTAAGAAATATTCTGTCTTATTATCCAGCATAGACTGAATGGAGCTTGTGTAAACCCACAGAAAACACTCAGGTTACCAAGTACTTGGAAGAGGGGCCTCTCAACTCCTTCATCTGTAACATGAAGTATTTGGAGACCTTCTGAACACTACATGCAAAGTGCCAGCCATGTCCCTGAAATCCTTTTATGGGTGGGGACAAGTCACCAGCCACCCCTACCCTCAGGCTTCCCAGCAAAGACAATACTTGTGTGGACTCATTTTAGGTAAGCCTCCCTTTGTTCATCACATCTTTCAACACAGTGGTCTCTATTAGCAACATAAAAGCCTGAATCCATGAGGACTGAATAATGTGGCTTTGGTACTGGAATGTTCTTTTCCTCAGACCTTTATGTAAGTGACTCCTTCGGTCTAGTTATCTACTCCTCCTAAGAGAACATCTCCCAACATCTGTCTCAGTACATTTTCTATTACGGGGACATAATGCCACAGGATGGGTCATTTATGAAGAAAAAGGAATTTCTCATAGTTTCTAGAAGCTTGGAAATTTAATAACAAAGTGATGGCTTCTGGGGAGAGCCTTCATGCTATGTGACATGTTGGAATCGTTGTATGTTAAGAGTGAGGGAGCTTGTATGCTTAGGTTTCTCTTCCTCTTCTTAGAAAGCCACTGATCCTGGGGCTGGGGAGATGGTTCAGTGGTTATGAACACTGCTCTTGCATAGGACTGGGGTTCGAATCCCAGCACCCACATGGCAGCTAACAGCTGTTCATAACTCCAGTTCCAGGGGATCCAACACCCTCTTCTGAACTCCACGGGCATTGCATGACATGGGTGCACTTACACACATGCAAATAATATACTCATTCATACACATAAAATAAGAATAATAAATAAAATATTTTCAAAAAGAAAGCCACTGATCCCGTCATGGTGGCTCCACCACTGTGACTTCATCTATTCCTAATTATTAACCCTGAGAGGCTCTACTCCAAACCCATCAACATATTAATTTGGGGGTTAAGTTTCCAACATATGGACTTTGGGGAGACTCAGTTAAGCCATAGCACCAACCGATCTCTATCACATTCTGCTGCGATACTTACTATCAGAAGCATGTATAGTCTGTACTTGACCAGAATGTCAGCTCCAAGAGATCAGACTCCTTGTTCATCACCACGTGCCCTTTCCTGGAGCAAGGTACACAATAAATAAGCGGATACGCATGTATATCCTTCAGGTACACCCATCAGGATGGGTCACCCCTGGTTTGAATACTGGCTTCACTTTCTAACTGGGTATATGTAGACAAAATATTTAAACATAATGAATTTCTCAACTCTTATCCTACAAGGTTATTATGATAATCAAATGAAATAAAGGTATGTGATGTGTTTAGCACAGGGCTGTATACATACATACATACATACATACATACATACATACATACATGGTATCTAATAAATATTAACTATTGCTGTTATTTCATAAGTACAGAGCATATTATGAAACATGAATTGTTTGATTAAAAATAATAATGTTGAATTCAAGGGGTCCCGATTCAACCATGGAAGGTAACATTTTAAAATAATTAAATGATCCTTTAATTGGTTCTTCGTATAGGCTAAAGCATCACTCATTTTTAAAAAGATCTTAATTTACCCTTTGCAATGACCCCCTTGTTACAATAAGTCATTATCTGAGACTGTTCCTCCCCTCTAAGCCATTGGCATCCATTTGGAAAATCTGTGGTAGAAAACATTCAAGTGTGACTTGTTAACTCATTTTTGCAAATATGTATTGCCAATGCCTTTTCATTTGAATAACCTAGAAAAGAATGCTAGTTACTCTTTCTCATGCCACTGAACAGCTTCACCTAAGGACCCTAAGAAAAGCTCTTCTCTTGGAGGGCTAGGAATCTGATGAAGAAAAGACAATTCCTCCTTTCCCTTTATTACACCTTGGTTCTCCCATAGTGAAGTTTTCATGTAAAACCCATTTCTCCCGATGCCTGGGTAGATGGTTAAATCAAAGGAGCCATAAATAGAGCCTGGCTGTTTGCCACCAGCTTGCTGGGGCCTGAGGAAGGAAGGCAGGCTCATTTGCCCCATGCGTCTAACTCCCTCCCTCCCTTCCTTCACCTTGGGTCTTTTCCTTCCTTAACTACGTCTGGTCTAGACTCAACGTGGCCTGCAGAAAGCTTTGGCAAATGCTCCTGAGCAAGGTCAGCCAGAATCTGTGCTGTGCACAACATGATCAGCTACAGTTTGAAGAGATAAAGTGAGGGATGGTTCATGCAGACATCGAATTGAAGTTGGAAAGTAACTTACAATAGTGAAACATCCTGAAACAGAGTAAAAGCTTCATCACATTTCTGGTCCTCAGACCTTCAGTCTGAAACGGAAGATAAAGAATTACATGAAGACAAGCTCTGCTTTTCGTCCCTTCGTCTTTCACTTTGTTCATCCATATCACTAAAGGACTGGTCATGCGTACAGACGCCGCAGACCCAAAAGTGGTTTTCTGCCCACATACAGCATTTTCTTCCTCTATTTTCCTTCTACTGGCTACTTTTTAAAAAAAATTTAAAGTATTTTAGTTACCATTTTTTATTTTGTCTATGAGTGTTTTGCCTGAATGTATGTTAAGTGAGTGAACCCATGTTCTGCAATGCACATGGAAGTCAGAAGAGGGCATTGAAGCCCCTGGAACTAGAGTTATGAATGGTTGTTAGCCTCCTTGTTGATGTTGGGAACCAAACCAGGTCCTCGACAAAAGCAGCCAGTGCTCTTAACTGCAGCCATCTCTCCAGCCCCTATTGGCTTCTTTTATAAAAAAAATAAAAACACTGAAGTTATTAGGGGCAGAGAAAGAAAAGCTAGGCAAATAAGCATTGATCCTGTCAAAGTATTTGCATAACTATATGACCTTCTTTCTCTATCTCATTATTTAGAATAGTATAGGGGTTGGTCCTACAATTACATTTATTTTCTTTAAAACTAATAATAATGAATAACAACTACTTGTGTGTGTGTACGTGCTTGTTCATATGTGTGCATGCAGTGGGCATGTGTGTGCCATAGCACACTTGTGGAAGTTATAGGACAGTCTTTCTGTTAGTTCTTACCTTTCTATCTTGTTTGAGACAAGGTTCTTTGCCCTGTGTAATCTAGGCTAGCTAGCCAGCAAGCTTCCATAGAGTCTCCTGTCTCCACCACCCATCTCCATGAAGTCACATTGAGATTATAGACTCTTGTGGTACTGTGTTTGCCTTTTACATGGATTCTAGGGGCTGAATGAACTCAGACGGTAAGGTCTACATGGCAAGCACTTTCACCCACTGAGTCATTTCCCCAGCCCACACTATTTCTATCCTCAGCCTTAGTTCTCCCTTCAAGCTTCAACTAACAGTGGCACCTGAGGGAGAGCTGATTATTGAAAATATTTACTCTAGGGCTGGTGAGATGGCTCAGTGAATAAAGGCAGTTGCTTCCAAGTATAATGAAGAGAACAGACTCCCCAGGTGCACCGTGGCACCGATATGGCCATATATACTCACTAAATAATAAATAAATAAATAATAAATAAATAAATAAATAAATAGCTTCCCAAGGCTTAGGTGCCATTGCAGAAGAGGAGGCAGAAAGATTGAAAGAGCCAGAGGCAGTGGATGACCACAAGGAAATAGTCTTCCACACAGCTGGTCAGTTACTCATATGAACTCACAGCAATGGTGGCAGTATGCAAAAGTCCTATGTAAGCTCAAACCAGACAAAATCTCAGAATAGACATGGGGAAGTAGGTAAGAAATACCAACCCAGCTTAAGGAACTTTTGGCAATAGATGGTGACTGGGAATGGGAGAGACGGTGTCTTACAGGATTGGGACTCTTGGTGGACCCAATGGATGGACCCACACTGAAGGACATTTGGGGACACAAATCAGACTCTATAGGCCATATATATATATATATATATATATATGTATATGAGAGAGAGAGAGCATACATTAAATTAATTGGGCAGGGAGCAGTGAGGAGAGGTGTGGATGGGGAGGGGAAGTAAATAAACTGTATTGTATGAAAATCAAAAAAAATTAAAAAAAAATAAAAATAAATGCTTAAAATTTAATATGTACTCTACATTAACTATAATTTACTTTACTCAATTATGCTCTAATCTTCCTTCTATTCCAGATAATCAATAAAACACTTCAAGATCATCCAAGCCATTCCCACAGAGTTTGGTGATCAAAGACTCAGACGTGTGGACCTCTAACTGCTTACCTGTGAGTAAACTTTGTTTCCTCAGGGTCTGTGTGTGGTAATTATACAGCCTCTGGCCTGATGTACTAAATCTTGCACTTATAGGCATAATGCAAAATGCTAGTCTTCCTGCCCTACCCTTTCTAGTTTACTTACCACTCAGTGAATCAGGCGGACTCTATGGAGGTTTGGTGGTGTATTTTCCCACTTTGTAATCTGACTTGCTGCTTTAGGTCACTTTCTTGCATATGCAGTTTCTTAAGACAGTCCCCACCAGTCATGAATCTTCACTTCCTGCACTTAATCCTTTGGCCTCGAGGTGATAAAGAGGATGAGTTAGCCATGCAGAGTCAGTAAGCTCATCTTTGTCCAAAGGCTAGTGATTTCAGGAGCAGTAGCAACCTCTTTCAACAAATCTACCCACAGGAGGGCCAGCTGGGGAGCAGAAAGAGCTTTCTAAAGGGGCGGGGCGGGGCGGATGAAAGATAAAAGAAAGCTGAGTTTGGCCTCAGGAAGAAGAGTTTTCAGGTTTTTAGCCCCAGTTCTCAGGCAACTACTGTTTCAGGATTATATCAACTGATTCTTTTTTTCTCTTTCTTCTCTTTCTCATTTCCTTGGTTCTCCCTTAGCAGAAACTCTTGACTTTATTTTTCAAATGTATGAGTATCAGCAAAAAAGGCTACCAGAGGTCTGCAGACCACCATCTTCTCTGCCTACCTCCACCCCTTTGTCCAGATGAGCTTTCAGATATCAGCTTTCTTCAAGTCCACATCCCTGAGCTTTCCTCTTTACGGTCCTAGAAAGAGATGGGCCAGGAAAGAGATGCTCATTGTCTTGAAGAGACCCCAAAAAGCAACTGACACTTGTTTTGGGAATTTGACCTAAACTGCTATCTATAGAAAAATGAGAAGTTCTGAAGGGAAGAAGTAAGAGCTCTGCAATCCATGAACGGCCTAGCTGGGCTGTTCCAATGAGTGATGGCCAGTGGCCAGTGTATGAGCCTCCCACCTGTGTTTTATTAATTTCAGTCAGCTGTTGGGCTTGAAGAAAAAGACCATTTCCCCAAGAGCACGTGAAAGAGGTGCTTTGAGTTGTAAGTACCTAGAAGCCTTTGCTCTTGCTTTAGAGCAACACAAATGGGAGACTTTATAACCATCATGGGCCAATATTTTTAGAATTAGTTGACACTGCAGATGGAAAAAGAAGTTTGGGAGGTTTTTCTTCCATTTTCCTTGTGTTTTACAGAATGAGCTTCCCCAGACACCTTGAACAAAGTGCTCTGCATCTTATTTAGTTGAAATTTGCTCCAACTTGTTAGAGTAGGATTTGAAGAAACTATTCTTAAACCGTGATGCTTCCCTGTGGATTTCTAGGAGTGGTTATAGAATGAAGCTCCTCTGGGAGAAGGCCTGGAACCCTCTCTCTGATCCAGGAGTCTTACCTCAAAGAAACTGCTCCCAGGGTCCTTGTCCTGAGATGCAAGGCAGGTCCACAGTGAGCCTGGGTATGGTCATGTTTGACTAGAGATTGAGGAGACACAAGAACAAAGGTTCCCAGGGTCTTCCCAGCATTCTGGAAACTTTAGTGGCTAGGAGAGTAAGAAGACAGTCCAGCTCCCCACATGGAGGGGGAATGGCACCTGGCCTTCAGAGGACCCTCTTTGAGAACATGCACGCTGGTCCAGCACAGTCACTGACTGAAGAGACTACCCTACGCATGGGTGGAGGCAGGGCACAGGAAACTAGGAGAAAAGCAGAGGAACCAGGAGCTGTCTAAAATTCCTTTCCAGCTTTTGTGTCCTTCAGCACAGTGAGGATGCAGCAAAGAGCAGGGAATGACTGAGCTACTTAGCTCTGAAACAAAACTATCAGACGTCTTATCTGGGGTTCCAAATGGGATATGATCTGATGTCACTCATTTCTCAACTCTGCTTCAGGTATTCAACCAAGTTAAGCTGAGAACCTCTCTCCTGACTCAGTGCCACAATTCCCCAGTAAGATTTACATCCAACAAACATCCTACCTGGGGAGAAAACTGAGACATTTCCCGTCTGACTATTCTTTCTATCCCGTCTCACTATGCCAAATTAAATCTAGATTTTTTTAAATTGACTTTTCTGAGAGGAAAGGGCAGTTACATTCCCTGAAAGAGTTATTTTAGGCTAAACTTATTACTTGGGGAGTTTCCCCTCCCTCTTCCTAATTCTAAACATAAAGTCCATCACTCATTCTAACACCAGCCTCTAAGAGCTGTCGACAAATGGAGTCTGAATAGTCACGCCAGTGTGGTATAAATGAACTGTGATCTCAGGATGCTGTCTGCTTCGCTGACAGGGAAAAAGAGTGGTTTAATATCTTTGGCGGAAAACACTTGCTTAAAGAAGGACGGAGAAGGCCAACATTAATAGTGAGTCCTGCTATTTAATAACTAAAAATGATATACTGTGGATGGGGGCATCCTAAGATTGGGGGAAAGTGTGTTTATCAAATCCAAAGAATGCAGAATGGGAGTGAATGCCAACACATCAGGGTTTAAGGAAGGAGCTTTTTTTCTAAGAGCATTTTCTTTAAGCTCTTTAAAGAATTTCCTCCACTAGTATATCATGACCATGATTTTAAACTTGATTTTATCACAGATACAAATTTATAAATGCAGGTGGTCCCTGACTTGCAATGGCTCCATTTATCTACAATGGTGCAAAAGCCATATGCATTCTTTAGAAACCGTGTTTCGAATTTTGTGTTTGGATCTTTTCCCAGGCTAGCTATGTGCAGTCTGATACTTTGGCAGTGCTGGGTACCACAGCTCCAACTGGAGCCGCCTATGATGAGTGTGAACAACTGATACGTAAGAGTGGACTGAAGCTCTGATGCTTGGGAGGTCAGGTGAAGTGAATGTGCTTTCAATTTACAACAGCTTTATCAGAACATAATCCAGTGTAAATCAAGGAGCCTTTATCCAAAGACATTTGTCATAGCGAGAGACTCTGGGGAGCTTTTTAACTGCTTCCCCAGATAACTGGCTAATACTTTATAAATTAAAGATGTAATTCTAAGTTGAGGTTGATGAGGGAGGCTCCACCACCAGCAGCAACTCCCTCAAGCATACATTTTCAATTACTTGCTGATTTATTCATCTGACAGACATATCTTGAATCAGATCTTCTCCACCCCAGGTGCTATTTGGGATCTGGGCTCACAAAGTCTGGTATTCTTTCCTATAAAATAAACTCTTTTAAAAGCTCAATGCAATGGAAAACTTGGTGAATCCAATAATGTGCTCATTGACGTAAATTGCGATGTCTGATACTCTTTATTTATTTTTCATTGGCCTCATCTTGGCAAAGGGTCACAATATTTTAAATTTCTCTGCCCTCTTATCCACCTATAATGCTTAATTATGTGGTTTAGAGGCAAAACCCTGCAATGTACTGCCTATGTCTGTCATTTCTCTTTTCTGAAAACCACTTTGTAAAGTGGCATCTAATTGCTCCTATACTCTTGATTCCATAATTCTGTTTTTCAGGTAGCATTAAAAAAAAAAAAAAAAAAAAAAAAAAAGGAGGAACACAGCTGTAGTTTCAAGGGAACTGAAATGAAAAGCAAAGGAAGGTTGCCATAGCAGTTTTATGGGATGTTCATAAAAATGGGTGGTGAGAGACAGGAAGTTGGTTTTCCATTCAGATACTGCGGCTTCAGCCACATCGTCTCTTTGGGACAGGGCCCTGCCACAATCCTAGGCCCAACTTCTTACAGTTCATGTCATTGTCTGTTTCTCAGAGGAGGCCTTCCAAACAACTGTCAGGGCCCACAAACCCTGGATCTCCCTAGAAATGGACACAGATGAACTCCCATGATTTAGCTTCTTGTCAAAAGGTAATTAAGTGAGCAAAGCGAAGAAATGGCTGAAGTGTGAAGTGTGGTGATTTATTTTTTTAAGATTTTTAGAATGAATTCAGCTTATTTTCTTAAGTGAACCCCACTTAAGTGAAATAATAAATCAGTTTGCCAAAGCACAAATGAACATAAACAGGAGATTCATTTTTACCTCATTAATAAACATCAAGTATGAAGTTACCCTAGCAGCAAGCCAGACCCTCCCGACAGGAAACAGCTCCTGGTGAGACTTTGTAGGCAAATATAAATCCTTTCGGACCATCACACAATCATTTCATCATCAGGGTCCTTGCTTCTGTCTCCTTTTTACATCTATGTACGAGTCTTGTGTAGCAGAGTACCAGGATTAAAAACATACCGTGAGGCCAGGTTACCTGACTGCAAAGTCAGAGTCTATTTTTAACTAGAAATAGCTATGTGAGTTTGGGTAAAAAACTTACTTTCTCTGAGTCTTGATAGCTTTGTCTATTAAATGGGAATAGTAATTAAATAAAATCCTTTTAAAAGAAAAAATAAAATCATATGATAACACCTATCTTTTACTCATTTATACTTAACATTTAGAAAACATAAAACAAGGAAGCCCTTAAAATTACTAAAATAGTTGAATAGTCTTAAACTTGCCTATGAATATATATAGTTTTAAAAATGAAATCACAAAATTTTTACATTTCTTTAATAAAGTTCAATTTTAGGCATCTTGCTTTTTTAAAATGGGGAGAATAAGATTGTTACAAGGACTTACAGTGGCATTTATAAATTTCCAAGAACTCTGCTTAGTATAGAGTTTATACTTCATAACCGTTGGCTAAATACATTTCTCCATTTAAAGGAAGGTAGCAGTGGGGTCATTTAGGAGCTTACCCTTGCTGAAGCGGGCACATGGTCGGCCATCCATAAAGACTGAATCAGGGAGGGCTCACAAACCAGCAACTAGAGGTCCATGGTGCCCTGAAAATGTGCTTTCTTGCAAAGTATGTTTATTGGTTTTGGGTTTTTTTTAAGTTTTGGGTTGGAATGTTCTTTGGGATGCATGTGTTTTCCATTTCTCCAAAAGTCACCACTCCCAAAATATTTACCTCTTTAACCCTTAAAAGCATTTGAGTTTGTCATGCCGGGCACAGATG